CGTGGCCCGGCTGGGGAGGGACAGCGGCGCCCCGCTCGCCCTCCTGGATCCAGTCCAGTCCCGCCCCGGGAGGATGGCTTGGATTCCCAGCGGGCGCCCCGGGGACTTATTCCCGGAGTCGCTGTTTTAAGAGCAGCGACAGCGTTTTGCTCCACGTGCCTCCCGCGGGTTGGGGAAGCTCAGCGCCCCCTCCTGCAATTGCCGCCTCCCGGGGACCAGTGGGAAGCATCCACGCTCCGCCAGCCTGAAAAGCGGTCTTTAGGGTGGGGCCGGGCATTTCGCTGCTCCCATTGTCTCACTCGGGCGGGGGGGGGCTCCTTTGCACGAGGAGAGCCGGGGGTGGGCGTGCGTGCGTGCGTGCGTGTGCGTCCACCTGTGCGCGCGCTGTAGCCTGCGGCGGTCCTTGTTAATTGGCTCGTGGACGTCCCCGTGGAAACATCTGGGGCAGAGGAGAAAGTCCGGGCAGAGTCTGTCAGGCTAAACATGCCTCCGGCGGTCTTGCGGCGAAAGCCATTCTTTTGGCCCAAGGAGTTCAGCAGCAGGGGGGAAACTTCGGGATCACGGGGAGTACATTGCACGTATGTATGCAGAGGTGGATGGGCGCGGGAGTGGCGTCCTCTCCACTCTCTCCCTTCTCCGTCCCTGGCGAGGAAGACAGCGCGGGAGCCAAACTGGATTTCGCTTTCTCACTTTCACTTTATGTGATGGAAAGTCAGGGCTGAAGTTGGAGAGGCAGGAACCAGAAGAGCCTGGGTGGGATAAAAGCATTGTGTGAAGGTGGAGCAGGCGCCTTCCCGTCTCAAGGGTGGAAAAAGAACAGCCCAGTGGATGGGAGGAAAAGAGCTTATGATTTAATCCCTGGAGCTGGCATATATATACAGTACATACAGAATTTGGTTTCTGGGTTGTGCAGCAAGCAGATCTTCTGCCTGCATAGGGCTTCTGGTCTGCAGTAGAGCAACCTCCCTAACCAGGGGGAACGCTTGAAGTTTCTGTTGCTCTTTCTTTCCTGTGGTGTGGAGTTTCTGGAAGAGGAAAACTCTGGTCTGAGGTCTGGCAGCAGGGGGAAGAAAGACTGGGGAAATATCTACAGGTTAATCCCCGTCTGGTACTTGGATACACAGCAAAACAGATACCAGAAGGCAAACAGAACTAATCTGGCCTAAAATGAATGGATTTTTATTTTTTGGAAGGAGTTATTGTTGGTTAGGGCTGACTTTCTAGCCAAATCCAGCTGCCCAAGGCAGTCTATCAAAATTCAGAGTACCAAACCTTGGGAACGAATTAGTGGTATGCAATCATTTTTAAAGCCAAGTGGAAGCAGGTGTTTATTCTGCAAGGGTGGGCCATTTTTGTAGATGTTGCTCCATTGACAAAAGGTTTCAGGAAAAGAGATGAATGTGTTTGTGAGGACGGGCAAACCGAGGCTCAGTTTCTCATGTTCCTCATCTCAAGTCTAGTGTGGACCCGTTTCCTGGTCAGTTTGCAAATTTGGAAAGGGGGCAGTTGAACGGATTTTCTGTCCATTTCTTTCAGTAGTTGTATTGCATTTTTCCTGAATACTTTCCTTTAAAATACACATTGTTGTGGCATTTTTTATTAATATTACTATTCTTTAAAAAAAAAAAAAACCTGGGCATTCAGACCAGGAGAATTTGAGCGTATGTGTTAATCCCTTTTGCATGAGGATTTGGGGTATGCAAATTGGCTAAATCCATGCAAATTTGTTTTGAAAGTGTCTGTTTTGAAGTACAAAAGATTTATCTCGAGGCAAACCAGAGGTGGCTCAGTGTTTCTAATCTGATTGCCAGCCATTCTCCAGAGTTTCAAATCAGTCTTTTTTAGTCCTATCTGGACCTACCTGAATCTTTCTGTCTGCAAAACAAGTGTTCTTCTCTGAGATGCGGTGATTCCCTTTCAAGGTTTCTAGAGATTAGAAAACTATGTATGTTTCTTACTGAAAGAGGAACCTTTCCAAAAACTCTTTTTGGTGAATAGCTGGATTTTATTTCTCTTTGCTGGAGTGAGTATATTATGAATTCCCAAAATCTGACTAGTAAATTAAGTGGGTGTACTTTAACAATGTTATGTGCCACTAATTAATATCTGATATGCAAACAAAAACAAAGTATTAAAAACCCCATCTCTCCCCCCCCCCTTTTTTTCCCCTCCTTAGTTCTTTTCTTCCACTTTTCTCTTCTTCTGGGAAGTGCTGTCCAAATTAGAACCAGCAGCAGTTATTCCAGTCTGTGTAAGTAATGTGCCAAGATTTAAGGGTTTGTTTAGTTTTTATTGGGTGAGGTGGTTCTGCTTTAATGGCAAAATATGATAATAGTTTTCAAGAAAGATTTCCCTGTAAAGACTCCTCAGTCAAAGGAAAAAAATAGCTGAGAAATGAAATCCATTCCCATAACTATTTATGTGGCTACAGAGTGAATATGTTCATTTAGGGTAAGAAAAGAATGATGTGTACCACTCTTGAGCATGTGTCACTGCTTAAAGAAAGCAACAGCATTGCTTATATATGCCTATTCAAAAGTAATTTTCTTGAGCCGAGAATAAGTCTTCCTTGTGCCCAAGTTTTATTAAAAGGGCAAAAATCCAACTCTCCACAGTGCTTCTTCTGTGCGGTGAGTACGGTTGGCCCCTGCCAGGGCCATGTTGTTTACAAAGTGATCTAGGACCGCTCATAGATCCTGAAGCCAAAGAGGGCAGAGGTTGCAGAAATATTTATGTTACACCCATCCAAAGCTTGATTGGAACATGGCGGAGCCCATTGCAGATGAGATAAAGCAGATTGTGATTTTTTCCCCTAAATCTTGTTTACCCTGCTCCCGTGTGGATCCAGCCATGGATCTGTTCTCTTTGAAGTTAGCCAGCTTCCCATTTCTATAGTTTAATTAAAATAATATATTGAAAAGTTAAAGGTTTAAAAAATGGCAGTTTGATGGGCACTATATTGATAGAAAGATCTACTGACTATCTAATATTTACAAACACACACCCTCCCTTGGAGCTCTCCAGGTCCTGAACAGCCTATAATTTCTCATGTTTTCTTGACCTTCCTGTGCTGGCCAGTTTCCTGTTCTGATAACCTACTTTTTCAGATGTTTTCTGCTTCAGGAACTAATTCTAGCAGGGTTCTCTAGGGACATTTCTATGAGAACTTCAGAGTCTCAGACATGAAAAGTGGAAGGGAGAAACTGGTCCTTTCTTCCAAATATATGAACTGGACCTTAGTTACCCAATATATTAAGCTGCTGATGTGAGCGTCTCTTGCATTTACATTTGAACATACAAGTTGGATATGAACTCTATTGCAGGTATAGACTTTGCCCATGTGAATAAAGACATTATAGTGTAATTCCTGGTTCAACATACATATTGTGGGATGACTTAGGAAGGCCCAAATTCTTGATTATTTGTTGGAAGAGAAATTGCATTTAGATTTTGTTTCCAAAGGAGAATAAATGTTTGGTGAAATTCTCACAAATGGGATGGAAACTCCTTATGCTTATTTACAAAGTCAACAAGGGGTGTTTCACCTGTCTTTTATTGTCCATTGTTAACTGCTGGGAATTTACTTATTAATTTATTAGATTGAAGGCCACACAACTCCAAAATAATTCTGGGCAGCTTACACTGAAAAAAAGAAAAAGAAAAAATAGTAAACAAGAGAAGTATGGATGTCTGGACACAAATTCCAAGTACTTTACAAAGTACCCCCCAAAAGAGCCTGAGAAAATAGCCATATTTTTAAAGACTTCTGGAACATCATTAGGGCGAGAGCCATATGGATTTCTGGGGGAATGCTATTCCAGAGGGCAGGCATTGCAAAACTTCCTGGATCCTGTTAGATGACACTGTTTGATAGATAGGACCCATAGCACACTGACTCTGACTGAGGGCCAGAAACCATGGGAGAAAGGTGGCCCTCAAATAACCACACCCTAGACCATGAATCTAGTAGGTGGATGCAGGGAGGTATAAAATTGATACATTTTGAACTAGAAGGCTTCTGGGTACAGTTCAAAGTGCTGGTTATCAATAATGAAGCTCTTCATGGCTTTGGGCCTGGTTACCTAAAGGACTGTCTGTCTTCCTTTAGGACAAGCTTCCATAGTTCAGTTGGGCATAGTTGGCCTTCTCCTGGTCTCCTCCATTCAGCAGCATCATCTGACAGGACCTAGGAAGCATGGCCTTCTCTGTCGCAGCACCTGCTCTCTGGAACACCTTTCCTACTGAGATTTGCCTGGCCCCCACCTTAACCATATTTAAAAGAGCCCTGAAAACGTGGCTCTTCCCCTTGGGGTAGTCTGAGTGGCAGGTCCTGCATATTGTACCATTTTAAAATTCTTCTCTTCCAGACAGCTGGGGTGTTTTGCTTGTATTTTAGTAATGGTTTTACCATATACCGCCCAGAGTCAGTGTGGAGTTGGGCAGCCTCATCAGTTTAATAAATAAATAAAAGCTTCTCTGTTCAGCAGCTTCTCTGGCAACTCATCCTTCTACTAAATCTCAAAGAAAATTCCTCCCAGAGGCTGTTCCATCTTTTCATCGTTCTGCATGACAAAGTAGCATCTTACCCCTTGCTGGTTGTATGTGAGACATTGCTCCTAAAGTCTTCCAGCAGACACCAGCATCTGGGGGAATAAGAAAACAAAACCCTTATCCTAGTATGTAATGTCTAGACAGATCCGAAATAAGCCAACATGAGCCATCTCTTGAATGGCAGATCTCTCCCTCCCAGGAAGTATGATTTCTTGAGAAAGCATCCCAAAGTCTCCAGTGTTCTGTATTTGACAGGCACTACATTTACCACCTTTTTTGCAATTGTAGCCTAAAGGAACTAAAAATATTTTATATCGAATTGTGGCAAAGTAGTTCTGTTCAGGCCTCAGCGATGTATTATTAAATGTACTATTTTGCTGACTCCAAGATGGTTATTCTTTGTTACTAAATGGTGGATGGGAGATTTCCCAGGGCGATTGGCTGTTTCAGGAGCAAGGCAATGATGATGAGCGGCAGAGAGGAAACAAGCAGGTTTCAGCTTTGCAACAACAGCCAAGCTGCCTTATCCAATTTTGCAGCCTTCACTGAAACACGGGAAGCGGGTTTGGATTTTCACTCAACAGATGTATTTGTGGCTGGTCTTCCCTTTCCTTCAGTTCTCTTTTCAAAATCTTTGCTGTATAATCATTTACTTAACCCAGTAGTTAAGCTAGCTAAAACAAACCATAAATATATCTGATCACATACATACTCAGATTCATCCCTTCTTATCTTTAATTTTCTTAATCCTCTCCTCTTTTGCCTGGTTCCTAATCTTTTTCGTCTGTTGCTTCTCCTGCAGTTGAAATATATTCAAGTGCCATAGGTAGCTATTGGGTGGCACAGTGACATCACGGATCCGCGGTGGCCCATTCTCCATACAAAAATGCAGTTCTGGGCTTGTTCTCAAAATCTTTTTCCCTGTACATTTTGTTTTAATTCAGTTCACTCTGAAGTTGTAATTCACGTTTGGCCTATCCCCAAAACGTGATCAATTGAAAGTGACCTGGTTTTGCCTTCCCTGCAGCAAAACTCTTCTGCTAAAAATATAGTGGATTGTTATTACAAAGCAGAAGTGATGCTGGTTATTGTAATCTTACAGTTTTTCTGAAAATATGTCTGCTAGCCCGCAAGGTACCATTTACAAAGAGATGTTAAATGGTAGGCACCAGACACGATGTCATCTCACACTTTCCCTCCCCCGCAAAAGAATTAAAAACGGCCCACATTTTTGCAAAATTGACTCACGACAATCTTGTGGGATCTCATAGGGGAAGGTTGAGATCTTGCAAGGTGTTAGATTCTCACTTTGAATCAGTGAGACATTCTCGTTCCCATGAGATTTGGGGCTGTTTTCTTTCTTTTTTTTTTTTTTTGCTGGTGCTTCTGCCTTTTTACATGAAGAGTCTTGTTTGGAGCAATGCTTCCCTCTGAACTTTGCAAATAGAAGGGAGGATTCTTTTCCCCAGATGTTTCTTGTGTACTATTGCTCTGGATTGCATTTCTCCAGGTCCATGAGAGCTTTATGGGTCAAATCTAGTGAAGAAAAGAAGGACTGTGCGTGTGGTTATTACTATTTTTTAATAGATGGCTGTTTGTGATGCTGTTTCAGGACTAGCTAGGTGTTATTTGTCTCCTAGTCAACCTGTATTACATGCAAGAATCCAGTTTGAGTAGGTGGGAAGTGAGTCGAGACCAAAGCACAGTGCTGTTCCTAAAACAGCATCAGCCCCCCCCCCCCAAGCATCGCTTTTATACCTCTCCAACGATGCTTTTGCAGCCTACTTTCAAACTGTTCCTCTGTCTGCCCAGATTAAAAGCTGTTGCAGGGCGGGAGATAGGGGTTTGTGGTGCATGGAAAAGAGAGTCATGGAAATACCCCAGGTGTCTGAACCTTCTGCAGAAATGTTTAAATACCGCTTTTCAGCTAATAATGTTATAGAACCAGGTTGGTGTAGTGGTTAAGGCATCAGGCTAGAAACCAGGAGGCTGTAATTCCAGTCCCGTCTTATGTGCAAAGCCAGCTGGGTAACCCTGGGCCTGTCCCTCTCTCTCAGCCCTAGGAAGGAGGCAATAGCAAACCACTTCCAAAATCTTGCCAAGAAAACTGCAGGGACTCGTCCAGGCAGTTGCCAGGAGTCAACAGTGACTCGAAAGATAAATAGATAGAAATAACTAATTACTTCGCAGGGAGAGGGTTTCACGCTGGTAAGGAAAATATCCCTGTTACTAAAATTAAACTTTTAATCAGGCAACTAATGATTTAGGTCCTCCAAGAACATTATCCATTGCATGCTAAAAGTGCAAAATTATTGCATTACAGGTATTGCACAAAACTGTGCTGCCAGGTGTGTGCATGGCCATGGTTTCTAAGACACATATGCTGTCAGAGTGGGTGATGCTGAGAAATGGAAGGGGGTCACAAGCATCTTCAGCTGGAGCAGCAGCATAGAGAATTATAAGTCATGAACAATTATGCTGACTAGCATGGGCCTTTGGCTATCAAAAAAAGGACACAAAAACATTAAATTAAACATGTTGTGGAGCAAACCAGATAACTACTCTAAGCAATCCCCCTTCTGTACTTGCTGGGCTGTCCTCCTTCTCCCCACTTGACTTTGTAGAAGACTGGCCTTCTAGTAGTTCAGGTTGATGATTGGGAGTGTTAGAGAAGAGACACATCTGGGGGTGGAGGACAATCAGTTGACATGCAAGATGCAAACTGGTTAACATTTGGCAGGATCTGAATCTGCTAGCAGGGCATTAGATTTACATTGTACAATATCAGCTATAACCCCAAACATACTTAATAAGGAGGATGCCCCATTGAGTAGAGGAAGATACTTCTAAATGGGTGTCCCTGAACTTTCAGGCCAAGGAGCCTACTGAAAGTTTGAGAACATGTTATGGGCAATCTCACAAAATGGTGCCCCAGGCTTGCTTATTCATAAAATGGCTACCCTTGAGGATAGGGCCAGTCACAAAACCCTTTTATCAGAAATCAGATTGGTAAGGGTGTTCCCTTCCTCCTTCTGTCATCCCACAGCTTAATTGTTTGCTATGGGATGATAGCAGCTTGTTCATGAGCCCTTTGAACCAAAGGAGAGGCAAGACTGGACAATATGATTCTCTATAGTCTAGATTGAATCCATTGTTCAAAAATTGAATCATGATTATGAAATTGAAGAAAGTTGTATGATTTCAATAGCCTGACTAAATTTTTCTTTTCTTTTAAATTTAGTATTAGATATAATTTAGATGTGTTTTTTCATGTAAGTTTTTGTTTTTTAGATTCGTTTAGTCATTAAGGTGTTTTTTTAAAAAAAAAATCTTTTAAAATGTTTTCTTTTTCTGTTTTCCTGTTCTCTTAAGTTTTTAAATCTTTTTTCTCATGGTTTTTCCCCTTAAATAGCTTAGCATAGAGGGTTGTTTTCACAATATTGGATGGATGGATGGATGGATGGATGGATGGATGGATGGATGGATGGATGGACGGA